CGCAGAGAGAGAAGCGGAGAAAGTGGGAGGGGGATATTTTCTGTCTAGGGGGCAGCAGTTCAAGGGGGGTTCATGCCAGGCCTGGAGAGGAGACCGATGACGCTCAAACAGGGAGAATCCCCATTGGTGCTGCCGCTGGTTCTTTCCCTCCCCAGCTCCAAAGTCCGAGATCAACGCTTCCTCCCCCTAATTCAGAACACACGCAAACACAGGATTCCAGCCGTAGGAAGAGGGGCTGCGCTGGATGAGGGAGGGGAGGGCGCACCCCATACACAGGGAAGACTTGGGGGTCACAGAAACCCCCCAATCCGAAGGGAAGCTAACGGAAAGCCTTCAGCTAAAGCAGGAAGAGACGGAGAGGATCTGCAGGGATCTCATCCTCTTCCCAGCTTCTCCCCGCTCTTCCCGGTGGAATCCTCCGTTGGTCTCCCTCGGGAAAGGATTCGCTTCGCTTCAGGGGAGAAAAACGCCGTTTCCTCCCTTCCAACACGCTTCTCTCTTGCTCAGAACGTCTGGACGAAACAGCCCCGTCAGATTTCCCGCTCTCCAACCCCGATTGGGTCGGAGTCTCCCTCTTTCTTTCTGTGGGTCAGGAGGATCCCACTTTTCCTTGCAAAGCAGCCCCGAATGGAGACCCCGGAATAAAGTTTGGCCGTTTCTCCTCCGCTTTCCGCTCTCTTCTTCGGAGAACTTTCAGCAGAGAAAAATATAGAAAGGGACCTTTTGGAAGAAATGGTGAAACGTAAAAGGGCAGATATATTATGGAGTCGTGGTGAGCTTCCCCCCCCGGAATTGGCATGTTTTGGCTGTGAAACAGAAAGCCGCCCTAAAACCAAAGGCTCCTTTGGATTCTTTTTCTTATCCTGGTCTAAAATAGAAAATAAAGGTAGTAGGGAAAGGAGAAAGGGGCGTGTAGGATAAAGGGGAAAAAGGAAAGGGAAAAAAAAACTCTCTTTTGAATGAAGCAAATTTTCACAAAGTGAAATTTCTCAGTTTCAAAGCCTGTTTTTCCTTCTGCTGTACATTCTTAGTAAATGTGGTGCAATTCTATAACAACCGATCCTAATCAGCAAATCCTACAAAGAAGATCCTTCTGGCTCGAGGGGCAGAGAGGAGCCAACACCGGGCTTTTCCAGAGGTGTCCGGGGATGGGAGCCTCTGAGGGGGGAGGGTTCTTCCTAGACCCCTTGACAAGCTCCTTCCCAATGCAGGTTTTCCGGTCATGAAAACGAGCGTTGAGTGCGTTAGTTCAGGGCCAGTTTGACGTTGAGAGACTCTTTGAATCTTGTGGTGCAGAAAAGGTCCGTTTATACTGGAAGGAAAGTTGGGTTCTGACAGCTGGAGGTTTCTGATTGGGCCGTTACTAAGTGAAATACAGGGTTTTCTGCTTCAGATGATCGGGAGTTTCTTAGAGCCCGACCTTTGCTGTTTTAATTACTTTCATTCATTTCTCCACACTACCCTGTTGCCCTGAGTGGTTGAGGGTCTCGGGTCCCGTTCCCTTGGCGGTTTTGTGCAATGCACCACGGGGTGATTGGCAACATCTTGCCTATTCCGTCCCTGTTTTGATAGCCCCAGCTGCTTCTTCCGGGGCCCTGGACAAGAGAACTGAAAGCTTATGGGTCACTTTCCCAGACACGCCCTTGCAGCTCCTCAAGCTCCACCTTATGACCTTTTCCCCCCATGTTCCCCTGGGCTAAAAGGCAGAAGGGAGAAGTTGCCTTAGCAAGAGCATCGGGAAGAGCCCCTCCTGCTTCCTCCTGTTCTCCCGTTCCTTCTCCTCTCTCTCCTCCCCCTTCCCTTCATTGAATCTCTACCTTCCAGGCTGCCTTCCAGCTTTATCACAACTGGCCACAGCCGACCGACCATGACCTACTCACCAAGGACAACCTGTCCTGGCCAACGTTTCCTGGGACAATTCGCTGTAGCTAACTCACCAGGGAACAAGGCTTACACTAATATCAAAGAAATGGAGGCATCACATCATTAAAGAAAGGGTTCAGAGAGCAAGGATAACGGTTAGATTATCCTTTCTTTTAAAATTATTTTAAATAATTGTATTGAATAATTGAATTGTCCCGCAGCGCGTTTTCCCATTGGGCTCAGAAGGTTTTCACGCGGCAAGTTGGCCAGGGCCAGGTGGCCCAGCTGGACTTTATGAGCCGTTGGGTATATTCCACTTGAAACTGATTCTCCTGTTGCTAAATCAAAATGTTTCTTCTTCTTCTCCTTCTCCTCCTTCTCCTCTTCCCCCCTCCCCCCTCTCTCTCTTGGCAGAAAAGTTCTACTTGAAGGACCAACCGACCAATCGCATGGCCATGTTGCTTCTGTGGATCCTCTCCCTGGCTGCCTCCTTTCTCCTGCCTGCAACTGGGGAAGTGGGGAGCAGTTTCCAACACTGCAGTCAGTTCTTCTTGAATGGAAACCCCCCCCCCTCCAACCTGGTGCCACTGAATCCAGCCAGAATCTGCCAGAGGTATAATAACAG